GAGTTCACAGTTTGGTAGGAAGCACATAGACAGGAAAACAAAGGATTACCTTACAAGGTAAGGTCAGGGCAAAAATCCCAGTGGCCTGGGTGGGAAAGGCCTTCTCCCTTCTATCGGACACAGGAAATGGTGCAGACAAGTGGCCCCGGGGTCCTGGATCCCAGTCCTGCGACCCTACCCCTGTCAGTCCCATCTGATTTCTGTTCTCCAGGAATTCTGGGAGGAGGATGAACAGAGCCCTTGAAAATTCCAGAAGGATATTCAGCCTGACCCCAAACAGAGCCTCAGTTCTTGGGAGGTGTGAGGGGATGACAGGCCTAAGGTCGTTTGACTCTTCCCCTTTCTACCACACACGCCCTGCCCCCACAGCAGTCCCCAAAGGGTGACAAAGTGGTTGAAAGTTTCCCTGTGGGCCAGTCCCCCAGCAGCCCCAACGCTCCCAAGCAACCTCCATAGGACCGTCAAGGAAGTCAGGGGTGGGGATGGTAGACAGCTCATCCGGGTCCCCACCACAGGGCCCCAGGCTTGGCTAACTGTAACAGTCACTGGGGTCCTGGTTAGGAATACAGATGCCCAGGCCCACCTCAGACCTCCAGCATCAGGATTCTCCAGGGCTGGGACTGGGAATCTGTCATTTCAACAAGCTCCCCAAGATGATGCCTATAATCAAACACATTTAGGAAACTCTACTGTGCAGAATTTGGAATGCCTGGGACTCTACTTGTACTCAGAGGTGCTAGATAGGTTAGGATAGACTAGGATAGGATAGAACAGGGGCGCCTGGGTGGCTCAGTCACTTGGGCATCCGACTCTTGGTTTCAACTCAGGGTTGTGAGGTTGGGCTCCATGCTCAGCACAGCATGCTCAGTCTCCTTGAAAGTCTCTCTCTCCTCTCTCTCTGCCCCTCTCCTCCCCCCACCCACCCCCTGGTGCACTCTCCCTCTCTCTCTTTCTCTCTCTCTTTCTCTCTCCCTCCCTCTCTAAGTAAATAAATAAAATCTTTGCTAAAAAAAAAAAAAAAGAATAGGACAGGATAGGACAGGACTGTGCCTTGCACTTGACGGCCAACTCAACAATTATTTGTTGAATGACAAATTCTGCAGCTTCCCCCAGACAGTCTCTCTGGATTTTCCTTGAGCTTGGGGGCATTAGGGTGAGAGTCCCATCCAGAAGGAGGACCTTGGAGTCTAAGCGAGGAGCTAAATGCTGCCTGCACTCACTGTGCCTCTGCGTCCTCAAGCATCGGAAGTATTTGTTAAAGCGTTATGCGAGCAATGGAAAGCTATCCAATGGTTGTGGTTGTGGCAGTCCACATCCTTTCAAAGCTGTTTTAAAAATAGGGAAGAGGGGGCACCTGGGGGGCTCAGTCAGTTAAGACTCCAACTCTTGATTTCGGCTCAGGTCATGATCTTAGGGTCATGAGATGGAGCCCCATGTCCTGCTTGAGATTCTCTCTTTCCTTCTCCCTCTGCCCCTCCCCCTGCTTGTGCTCTCTATCTGTCTCTAAAATAAATAAAATATTTGGGCGCCTGGGTGGCTCAGTTGGTTAAACAACTGCCTTCAGCTCAGGTCATGATCCCAGAGTCCTGGGACAGAGTCCCACATCGGGCTCCCGACTCAGCGGGGAGTCTGCTTCTCCCTCTGACCCTCCCCCCACCATGCTGTTTCTCTCTCTCTCTCTCAAATAAATAAATAAAGTCTTTTTTAAAAAAATAAAAATAAAATATTTTCTAAAAAAATAGGGAACAGGGTAGGATGGCTAGGACCACCTTTGGGTCATGGGTGAGGTTGTGGCTGGAACATCCTTGTTTACAGACCGTAAGCCTGGGCATGCAGCTTGCTCAGGGATGCTCGGCGGACTGTGTCCAGGCCGGTGTCCTGGCAGACTGTGGATTGCGAGCGAGGAGGAGCTGGGAGACCCCAGTGAGGGGGAAGTAAGCCCCAGAAGGGCAGCTGGAGGTAAAGAGGTTATGGCCTCTTTAAGGATTTTAAGATTTGAAATTTGCACACGGAGGGAATTCCTAAAGAAACTATGGCCCTCCAAAAGATAAAACCCAGAACTTCCCAGGTTCTTGTCAAGATTCCTCCAAGAGGGGCGCCTGAGTGCCTCAGTCGTTAAGCGTCTGCCTTCGGCTCAGGTCATGATCCTGGAGTCCTGGGATCAAGCCCCGCATCGGGCTCCCTGCTCAGCCAGGAGCCAGCTTCTCCCTCTCCCACTCCCCCTGCTTGTGTTCGCTCTCTAGCTGTCTCTCTCTCTCTGTCAAATAAATAAATAAAATCTTAAAAAAAAAAAAAGATTCCTCCAAGAAGTCCTGACTCTGTCCCCAGGTCCCTCCTCCTAGCTGGCCCAAGGGTGGCCAGAAAACTTTCCCCGGTCACAGTTAGGACAGCTGAGGCAGGATGGCCATTTTTTTTTTTTTTTAGACTTTATTTATTTATTTAGAGAGAGAGAGTGAGAGCGAGCAGGGGGAGGGGCAGAGGGAGAAAGAATCCTTAAGCAGACTCAGCACTGAGCATGGAGCCCGACTGGGGGCTCAATTTCATGACCCTGAGATCATGACTTGAGTCAAAATCAAGAGTTGGACGCTTAACTGACTGAGCCACCCAGGTGCCCCAGGACGGCCATTTTAAAAGGCATTTAGTCAGTGCCTTGTACCTGGGAATGCCGGGCCGGGGGACCTCCCTCCTGCCCTGCAAGGCTGAACTTCCTTTATGATCACAATGAGCCAGAAACCGGTCAGGAAGACCAGCTGTCCCTGTGCCCTCCAGTGGGAGCACAATACTACATCCAGGTATTACCTCAGGTTCCCGTCTCCTTGGAAGACAGGGTTCTCCAACCTCCTGCCAGGTGGTCTTGGGCCCAGAGCTGGCTGGCGCGGCTCACTCCTGGGGGTGGCTGACACAGTGGCGCCTCTCTGACCCGAGGTGGGCAGATGCCCCTGGCTTTTATGGCTTTCCTGGGGGGCGACTGTGGGCCCATGATGACATCCAATCACAGCTCTCTTGCCTCATTTGGGATGCTGAGGGGGCAGTTTCTTCTCTATTCTTTTATTGAAACATGAAAGATGAGGAAGCACACTTTCTCAACAGAGGGACTTGACTCGTTTGCTTACCACCAGCCCTCCCTTGACCCAGATCTGTCGCCCATATCTGGGAAGGGGTACACAGATCTCAGTGTTCTTGGCGTATGGACAATAGATAATTCTCTCCATTTACTAATGCCATCTGCTTCCCTGGAGGAGAAAAATAATCTCAACACGGTGCCAGGGAGACTCAGTTCCCCATGTGGGGGTATCCCATGGCCCACCTAAGAGAACCAAGCCCCCACATTTGCAAGACTACACTTGTGAAGGACACACTCCGAGCACGGAACCTCTCCCTAGCACCCGCTGCATTCCTCAAGCTGCTTTGGTTATGGCCTGCGCGGACAGGCCCACTCCCCTTTCACCTCACCCAGGACCAGCCCAGGTGTCAGAGGCTGAATTCCGTCTCTACCCCATTCATATGGTGAAGTCCTAGTACCTCGGAATGGGACACGATTTGGAAATGGGGGTCTTTACAGGAATAAGCAAGTTACCAGGAGGTCATTAGGGTGGGCCTTCATCCAGTATGTCTGGTGTCCTTATAAAAAGGGAACATTTGGACACAGGGACACACATAGAGGAAAGACGATGTGAAGAGCCACAGGGACAAGACGGCCACCAGCAAGCTGAGGAGCGAGGCCTGGACGGATCCTTCCCTCGGGGCCCTCAGAAGGAGCCGACCCTGCCCACACCTTGATTTCAGACTCCCAGCCTCGAGAACTGAGATGACAAACATCTGTTGTTGAATCCACTCCATCTGTGCTGCTTTGTCAGATGGCTCTCCCAAACTAATACACCAGGTTCCCTGCTCACTGGTCCCCAAGAGGAAGGGACCTCCTGATGACTCAGACACTCGCCTCTTGACTTCCATGACTATGAGCAAGGGAGAAACTCTCACCTGGATCAGGCTGTCCCCGTGGCTCCACTTTGCAATCTGAGACACAACCTCTCCCAGGTAAGCCCTCACCCCCCAAGACAAGTACACTGGTGCATATGCATGTGCATGCATGCACAGAGGCACGGGGCTGACCACACATGGGAGGTGGGGTCCACGGATGATGGGGGAGGGAGAATTATGTGCCAGAGTTCAGGGTGGGGACTGATGTTGATGACATGGTGGCAGGGAACAGCTTCTAATGAATATTGATGAAGAACTGATGAGCGAATGAATGAATGGGTCAGACGTCATTCCCGGCTGTATTCTCTGCCCTGAGGGACACACCATGCTTTCTAACGATGAGCCACACACACATAAACCCCGCAAGCGGTGTTGATGCGCCCGCATGTTCCGTGAACACAAATTTAACTCAGTCTTCTCAAAATTGCAGTTATTTAGCTAAGTTGGGGTGGGCAATGGACTTTGGGGGTCCCATGTACCTGCATGCAATGAACACACCCTGTCTTCCCCCGGCCCTCCATCTTCAGCCTCCTCCGAAGTCCTCCCAAGGGCAGAATGCACTGGAAAAAACTTGGCAGGGTGAAAGCTGCCTATCTTTCTTGGAGGGTGTGGAGTGAGAGGTGTGGCCAAGCACTGCTGGGGTCTGGCCTTCGTGAAGGGTGGGCAGCGATAACACTGATGGGCTGAGGGGGGAGCTGCTACAGGGTGAGCTCACCTTGGGGTTCCTTTTCTTTTTTCAGATGAATTTTTAATATATATATAATTGATTTTCATGGAGAAGGAAAGAGTAAGAGGAAGGAGAGAGGGAGAAAGAACACAGTAAAAAGTCTTCCTGACCCTCATCTGTCTGGCCCCAGGGACACCCCCCCACACACACCTCCACTTTAACCTGTTATGGTGTTTTTTGACTCTGTGCAAATACAGGTAAATATGAATATCCAAGGGGAGGGGGCACTGTTAAAACCTTCCCCTTTAAGTATGGGATTGGACCCTAAATATGGGATTGGACACATCCTGTCTCTTTCCGGTACCGACTATTAACAGGATTTTTGTTCCCTTAGCGCCCGAGGTTCTTGGTCATGCTGCTTCGAAGAATGAAGAGGTAGACCAGAGGAAGAGTGGTGGGCAGCAAAGCAAAGTTTATTGGGCAAGAGTACAAAGCTCCCGGAGAGGGAGGGGACCCGAGAGGGTTGCCATTTTGGTGTTCAAATTTATAAGCTCTTTTGAGGAACTATCTTTTTTTTTTTTTTTTTTTTAAAGATTTTTTATTTATTTATCTGAGAGAGAGAATGGGAGACAGAGAGCATGAGAGGGGGAGGATCAGAGGGAGAAGCAAACTCCCCGCTGAGCAGGGAGTCTGATGCGGGACTCGATCCCGGGACTCCAGGATCATGACCTGAGCCGAAGGCAGTTGCCTAACCAACTGAGCCACCCAGGCGCCCCATGAGGAACTATCTTGAGCATCCTGAGTGTGGGCCCCTGTGGATTGGCCGCTAAGGTGTGCCAATCAGGGCTTTGATCTTGCACCTGTCTACCTAACGGGTTATTGTTCACATGTTGCTGGTCTTTGGGGCTGACATCTGGAGACTAACTGCCTCAGCTTGTGATAGTGACCCATGTTTTATGGTTCATTGTTTTGTTTCAGGATGTTTTGCAAAAGTCACTTCTGCAGAGGCTGCTAGACAGGATGCCATTGTGGTCCTATCTAAGCTGTAAAACAGGATGCTAGTGCGGTTTTGGCTTAGCTGTCCTGGCTTTTTTGCTTTCTTGTTGGGGACCCTGACCCTGACTACCTAAGCGTCCAATTAACCTCTAACACAACGACATTGACTGCCAGTGACAGAAAAAGTTTCTCTGTCCCAGGGCTCCGCTCCGCACCCACATCAGGGCAGGAGCCCAGAAGCTGTTTGCACAGTGAGAGAAGCTGGTTGGTCACATGATGCCCAAATGTTGTCAGGCTAAAGGTCACAGTGCCTAGGCTGGCTGGAGGCGTCTGTAAACCAGCGTGGAGAAGTGGATCTGGGAACAGCATCACAGAGTCCTGGCTAACAGAAGCCTCTGGCTTCAGACCCAGTGCCCTGTGTGCAGCAGGCTTCACGTTCCCTGGAATACCCCAGAGCAGTGTTTTCTCAACCCAAGACAGTTTGCCCCCAGGTGACACTGGGCAATATCTGGGCATATTTTTGGTCGTCTCAACTAGGGGGATGGTGTTGCTACCGAGTATCTAGTAGATGGGAGGCCAGGGATGCTGCTCAGCATCCTGCAATGCACAGGATGACACCCAGCACAAAGAAGGATCCGGGCCCAATGTCAGTGGTTCAAGGCTGAGGGACCCTGTCCTAGAGGGAGACCCAAGGCAGCACGGGGGCTCCCTGTGCGCTGGTCCCCATTGCACCCATCCATGCAAGCATAATGAGCCCAGCGGACCTCCTCCCTTTGGGAACAAAGACCCCCTTGCCTGGGCCCCCTGCTTGGTGCTGGGCTCAGAGACACAGGGATGAATGCCGTAGCTACTGGCCTGGGTCTGGGGCTCACACAGCCTGGAGGAAACAGGAAAAAGGTCACAGGCGACCGAGATCCCCAGAGGGGAGGTTGAGCGGAAGCAGAGGGTCTCGGCTAGGCCCCAGGCTGGGGAGGGACCTGCGTTACCACCAACTCCCAGCCGGCCGCGGAAGCGGAGCCAGCCGGTCGGGGCCGGCTCCTCGGGGTGGCGGGGATCAGGTTGCAGGGATGGCGGGGCGGGGCGCAGGAGGGACCTCGGGTTGGCTGGGGGCTGGGGGCGGGCCCCGCTGGAGTGACGTCGGAGCCCTGAGTCGGTCCCCACCCCCACGTCCCAGCTCCCCAAGTGCGTGGGGGAAGGAGGGTTGGGTGCGGAGGCCGCGGGAGGGAGTCGGGAACCCGCGCTGTCCGCCCCAAGCCCGGGAGGGCAGGGCGGCGGCTGGAGGGCTCGGTTAGGGGCGCCATAAAACCTTCGCTGTCCCCCGGGCCCCCGCCGGCGCCGTCGAATGCTGAAGCCGACCTCTTCGTGCTCTCGGGGCGGCCAAGTCAGAACGGGGCGCCCCGGGGCCCTTGGAGAGGCCCCGGGTGCGAGCGGAGAGCCCCTGGGATTTGGCCCCCCAAGCGTCTTTGCGTCCCCCCAGTTCTGCGCCAGCCCTTGAATCCGGGCCGGGAGGTCTCACCCTCAGCACAGCCTGTGCTTTGGGGTCCCCTTTCAACTACTGTGGGGGTCCCAATTCCAAGGCTTACGCAGAACTGGAAGCTCAGGGTCCAATTTATAGATGAGGAAAGCGAGTCAGGGGAGCTAGTAAGAACTAGGTCCCACGCGAGGAGCGGGGTGAGTGGTGCTGGTGAAAGCGGGATGCCAACCCGTATGGATCCGGGAGGGAGCCCACTAACACCCCATCCACTTCAGCCCTTGGGTCTGACCTGCCAAAGGAGTTAGGCTGCGAGCCCCCAGAGGGCAGGGACCAGATCTTGCTTCTCTCTGTCCCCAGAGTAGGAACTCAGTATTTATTAACATTTGCTGTCAACTGAAAGCAGTCCAATCCCCCATCTTCAACCTGGTTTCTTGACTTCCCTGTGCCCCAAGTGACCCTCTTAACACCTTGATGGTCAACCCCTGCCAGTCAGGGTCTGTCCCTCTCCATAGCATCCCCCTCCAATCCTAGCAACCTGTTTTCCCACCCACTCTGGGGACCTCATGCATGAGGGACAGCAGAGAAAAAGGAAAGAGGCATCTCCGGAGGGCAGAACACAGTGAAATCTGGCCCTGAAAGCAGTGCGTCTGGGCAGAAAACACAGGACAGCTAGCTCCTGGATGCTCCGCCTTGACTGTGACTTTCACGGAGTGACCCTGAGGAACTAGACACTAAATATGAACTCAGGGTGTTAGTACTTCCATTTTACAGACGAGAAAACTGAGCTGCCCAAAGTTACAAAGCTAGTAAGCAAGAGTCGGGATCCAAACCCATAGCTGTTGGATTCCTAGGTCATGTTCTCTCTGCAGAACTGCCTCCTGCTAAAAAGGCATTTGGTTTCTGGTCCTCACTTCCTTCCCTGTACCTTTCAGTCACCCACAGCCCACAGAGGGACCCACCACCCCAGCCTCCATCCATCAATATCCCTTCTTCAAGGAGACAAAGGTCAGAGCCGCGCCCTCAGCCCAAGGATGAGGATGAGGTCAGAGCATTACCCAGCTGGAGCAGATGCTAAATAATTCATGGATCTGCTGTGAAGCGGGGGCTGCAGCTTCCGGGAGGGTCCAGAAGGCACACAGCAGACAGGAAACAAAATCTGGTCACTTGCACCCAAGTCTGATCTCCGCAAACCCCACGGGGCTGGAGAAAGTGCCTCGTTTGGTAACAAAGGGTTGGAGAGCATGACCCCAGGCAAGTCACTTCACCTATTTCTTGCTGCTCTCTCGTTTCTAGCTCTTATCCGAGGTGTGATCAAGTGCAGGAAACCAGTGTAAACCGGAATAGTGGATGTGGCCCTTGGCAGGTCCTCAGGGGAGGTACTGATCATCTCCCTGGCCCCGTCTGCCTTCCCACGAGCCCAGTATGTCACTCAATGGTGTCCCTCCAGCATGCCAGGCAGCAGCAGAACTATGATAGGGGTTGTCCCCCTCTCTTGCCCCATCCCTACATTCCCAGACCTTGGGGGGGACAGGGGGGTGGGGCACAGGCACAAATCTTGGCTATTTTTGGAGGCTTGGTTTCCTCCCTTAGAATAAATCCCCAACCGAGAAAAAGTTAGTTGGAATCAAACAGGCTTTGTTGGTCTATAAGGGAAGAGACTAGGTTAAAAATATGTATTAAATCCCAGAAAAAAATCTCAGTGAACACATGGGGATTCTGTGATAGGAATTCCTCGGAAACAGAGGACAAGGTCCTTTAATTCTGAGCAGTTAGGGTCCAAACTACTCTGCTTCGAGCTGATCGGCTTGACAGAGTGGGTGTGAAATTTACCAAGGTGTTGGTCTGATGTTACCTGCAATAGGTTCTGGCCTCTTCTAGTTTTCTTCCATCCGAGGCTCATTTGTGATGCGGCTGGACCACTTGGGGGAAGGCACCTCTCTCCTAAAAACACACCTGTCTTCTGTCTTCTCCACTTGGCCAAGGCCTGGAAGGAGCAGGGCCACTGGGTGTCCCTGAGCCAGGGTGGCCTGCATATTTCAGGATCCCATCCTTCCCAAGCTAACACCCAGATCCCTGGAGAACTCGGACGAACAAACCCACATTCACTGCAGGCTGCTCTTCATGGCCGCCTGGTGGGGCCAAGACTCACATGAGACTATCACTTCGAAAAGCAAGACAGGGCCTTTATTCACTGTAAGGGATCTTGGGACCACTAACCTAGATCAAGAAAAGTCTGAGGTGCAGAGAGCTCCCTCTTCCCTCCATCAGAGAGAAGTAATACTCTGTTTGTGGAGCTAAGCAACCCAGCACATGATCGGTCAATGGTGGCGATGGGGGGTAGGGGGCTGTCACAGGCAGTTGCATGGCCCTACTCTCTCTGTAGGGCCTGAGAAATATTCCAGTAACAAAGACACAGGCTGCTGGGGGCAGGAGGGTGGTGCTGGAGAGCTGTGGGCTGAGCGTCTTTGCGTCTTTGCGTCCCCCCAGTTCTGCGCCAGCCTTTGAATCCGGGCCGGGAGGTCTCATGGTGCTGGAGAGCTGTGGGCTGACCACAGGGTGAGGTCGGGCCCTGCTCTTGTTCTCTCCCCCCCACCCTGGGCACCCAGAGGTGACTCTGCGCTGAGCACAGAGCTCCAGGGGCACGCCTGGGAGGCCCCCTTGGGCCAGCCAGCTCTGCCTGGTAGCCGAGCGCAGGACAAAACCAGGAGACGATGCTACAGAGATCTCGTTCCTGTGAGTCTGGAGCTATGCACATCTCCGCCCTTGCTCCACCATCATCAGGTCCTAAAGGATGCCCCCCACTTCCCGGGGTGGCCGTCAGGACCCTCTGGAGCATGTCGTGGGAGAGAACAGTGCCAGCACGTTTGGGGTGCCCAAGGTGAGGCAGAAATCTGTACATCTGCCCAGCAGGACATGGCATGAGTCCCAGTTCTGTGAGCAGCTGAGACCCCAGCCCATGTGATCCAGGACTCTCAGCTGGCCCCTGAGGATGCAGCCCCAACCCCCACCTTGTGTCTCGATGGGCCCCAGTTCACTGCAGGTGGGGAAGGCATGGGGCCACGGTGTAAGGGGGCACGAGAGGGAAGCACCAAAGGGGCTCAGATCCAGCACCCACAGGCCACGAAGAGGAGCGGTGTCTGCTCAGGCCTCGGGCCGAGCTCTGTCCCAGCTCGGGGGCCTTCCACGGTCCAGGTGGTGGCAGGAAGCCCTGATGAGAAAGCCCACTTCCGCCAGGGCTTGGCTCCAAACACCCAGGCGCAGGCAGGACAAGCTGATGCTGGACACCAAGACAGCCAGGAAGGCCCGTGGTGTGAAGACAGGGCATCTGAGGATGGCCATCTGGAGAACCACAGCATGGGACACACGGGCTGTGACTAGGGGAAGGGTGTCGAGGGGGGACAGAGGCAGGCTGGGCAGTTCTGTAGATCCTTGTGGCCTCAGTCACGTGGGGGTCAGGAGAGGCAAAGGGAATGGCCCCAGGGCCCCAGCCACGCACCTCAGGGCTTCACGGGCCCCCCACTCAGTCCTCTGCTTCTGGCTGGTGGCCTCCGGTCCCTCCCAGCTCCAATGACAAGGGCGGGAAAGGTGCTGGGCCCTGCCCAGCCCAGACAGAGGTATGAGGACATCAGGACGGACGTGTGGTTCAGGGAAGAGGGCTTCTACCATCTCGTTTTATTTTGCGGGGACTGAGCCTAAAGTAACCAGAAAGAACAAGAGTCAAAGGGGACCCTACCACTCGGGGGCCCAAGCTCTGGCTTCTACTAAAAACAGTGTCTGAGTCCCAGCGGGGCTGGTGCAATCTGACATAGAAGGGAAACTCTGGGAGAAGTTTGTTTTTCTTCGGCAACTTTCTCTCTCTTCCAACAGAGACTTTATTTTTCCCCCCCTACGACTGGTGTCAGAAAATAGCTTCTGACTCGTTGGGTAGAAACATTCCCAAGCTCGGGAGGGGCAGGCTTGGCAGCCCCTTTGCAAAGCCTGGAGCCAGTGTCTGTCCGAGGGTCACGGCACTACCGCTCATCCAAGCCCAGGCCACTGGCTCGGCCCCAGGGTGGGCCTCGAAGACAGAGCTCAACACAACCTGACCAGTGGGGCCCCTCTGGAGGCCGCTGTGGCCTCGGTGGGTCGGTTTGCTTACCCCTGTCAGGGGCCGGGAGAGGGACAGCCCCACCTTTTGCCTCCAAGGCCACGTCCGACCCGAAAATGGCACGATTCTGGGATTCTGACTCGGGAAAGAGGACAGAATGCTGTGCTGTCCACCTTTCTTGGCAGCCACGAGGTTTAAAAGGAGCTGATGTGGGAAGGCTCTGTTTACCATAAAGGGCTGAGCCAGTGGACACGTTAATAACTGTCCAGGAATGGAACCAACCGGAACTGGCCGACCCTTTCCCACCTTTGGAAACCCACTTTGTAAAGAAGTGCCAGTGTTCTCCGAGCCGTCCGCTTCCACCCGTGCTCGGCACAGCACCATCTAACAGCACAGGCCGGTGACTCTCCACCGCGTCCCTTAGAGCACTTGAACGGCCATCCCCCCTAAGAGGGTCGGAAGCTGGCCCGCCTTCCCTTACACACACCCTCCGCAGAGCTGCCCGATGGTGGGCCTGCCCTCCCCACTCTGGCCTCGTGCATGGCGGCGGGGAGGCGTCCCGGAGGAAAAGCTGCCTGATCTCAGATAAGCCCAGATGCTGGACTAGACCCTGGACAGGCGCTGGGCCCAGAAGTTCATTCTGACCGCCCGCGACACGACCCGATACACAGGCTCAGCTGAAGACTCCTTCCCTGGGAAGGAAAAAGCAGCAGCGGCGTTCCCGTGAGCCGGACTCGGAAGGAGAAAGAGGAGCCACCCCCGGCCCACGGAGGAGGAGGCTCCTCAGTGACCAAGAGCCCGGGGTCAGAAACGACATTCCCAGAGGAAGGGCTCATAAGGCAAAAACGTGTTTATTAGGCACCCTTGCTCCTCATAGAGGAGCAAGACCCAGGACAGACGCGCCTGAGAAATCTCTCGAGGTGGCAGGAATCTCTCCGAAGACTCCAGAAAATGTTGGCACTGACCGGCCACCACCCCAAAAAGAACACTATCTGGCTGGAGCACGAAGCTCCACGAACACTGAGGCGTGGGTGGGGGGCCCCTGGGACACCCACCCAGACATTGGCAGACAGGGACGGCCTTCCCGGCTCCGAGGCACAGTTGCCCTGAGCCACGGAGGGGGCAGGGGCAGTAGGAGAGCCGTGGGCTCCTCACCCAGGCCACGTCCCAAGGGCCTTCCCCAAATCTGCCTGCCTCCTCCTGACCGCCGACTCAGTCCCACACGTAGGGGTTTCTAAAGACCTGGGAGTTCTTGCTGTCTCTCGGAGGTGTGGCGGCCCGGTGGCTCTGGGCCGCATACATGTCTTCGGCCCTCAGGGTGGAGTTGGCACTGCCCATCACCTGGCTGTTGGCGGTGGCTCGTGGGAGGATGACGTCGTAAGCTCCTTCGGACTGGAAGGAAGCACAGGAGGTCTCACAGCCAGGTTCTGCCAGGGCGGACGCACAAACACTCTGCTACCTGCAGGGCTGGGCCTGCCCGCAGTAACCCCCAAGCCCCCCCAGCAGGGCCCCAGCGGCCGCCTGGGATGGGTGACTCCACCTCTCGAAACGGAGGGGCTGGCGTCTGACCTCAAGCCCCTTCCCTCACCCTACAGAGCGCCAGGCCTCTAGGCATGGGAAGGGGCCTCTGGTCACCTCGGATGGCCCCGCGGTGTCACTGTTTTCAGAAGGATCCTCTTCTCAAGCCTCCCCCCTCCTGCTCCCAACTCCTGGGGGAAATCCTGGGGCCCAGGGCAGAGGGAACCACACTGAGCTGCTACTACGTGCCTATAATGGCCCCAGGCTCCCTCCTCCCCAGACCCTTCCCCGAGCCCTCAAATGGCAATAGGACACCCAGTGGCAATCAGAGCGGCAGGTCTGTGTGGCTGAGGACAGCTGGCAGGCCTTGGGCATACCCACACTTCTTATCTCGAAGCCTGGGCGGGTTAATCAGTTGTGGAGACTTAAAACCCAAATTCTCTGCCTGGAACCTGGCTAGAGCTACAGTGCCCTACTCCTGTGTGGGGGAGAGATGGCTGTGGGGTGGGGAGAGTCCAGAGGCCCCCATCCCAGCTCCTGGCCTGAAGGCAAGGTGAACTCCTGGCCCCACCTGCCTTATCCCTAACCCCAGGGCCCCAAGCCACCCACCACCTTCAGTTAAATCAGGCCCAGGTGGTCCTCCCACTGGTTTGCAATCCCCAGCTCGCAGGCCCCCAGAAGCTCCTGGAACATCCAGGTAGGTGGGGCTCAAACCTGGGTGTGCCTCAGAATCACCTGGGCAGTTGGTTCAGCCACAGCCACACCCAGTCAGGCTCTGCCCAGTGGTGGCCTGGTCAAAGTTTAACTGGGGCGGGGAGGGAGGGAGCCCCCATCCGTAGTCTCCACTCATCTCCGTGGGTGGGTACTCCCTGTTCACCCAGGTCCTCGACCCCCTGGGGCAGCAGGACTGGGTGTGGCCAGGCAAGTGAGGGGTGGCCAGGGTGAGACAGCTGCTGGAGGAAGGACCCTGGGGGGGGTTCCACAGTCTGAGCGGCTGGGACCAGCAGACTCTGCTCCTGTCCTCCAGAGACTCCTTGCCCCTCCCTGCGCCTGGCAGCAGGTTCAGCTTAGGGAGAGGAAGGGGCTGGAGCTGGAAGTTTCTGATATTTACTGCACCGTGCCCCGGGGGCTCGTGGCACGGAGGGGGGTGAGAACACCACCCCGCTGACCTCCCTGGCTTCCTGTTCCCAGCGTCCTGCCAAGGCAGGTCACTGACATCTCCCCACAGTGACTGCCAGCCCAGGGGGAGGAACATATACGGAGTGAGTGAGACTCTAACCCACGGTCTTCCTGTTCCCACCCCCCACTGGCTAATGGAGCATCTGGTTTCCAGAACCCAGGGGAGGTATGAGGTTGAGAGCTAGAGCCTGCTTGTGGGGGGAAGGGAGCCAAGGCCCTCTTGGGACAGCTGTGGTTGAGGAGTAAGTACATACCCAGACCTGCTTTTTGGTCCTCTGTGCCTTTATGGGGGCACCAAAGACTGCCACCTCCCTACCTGGCTGAGACCTTCCTTTGTCCCTCCCTAAGCTCCTTAGGGTGAAGCTGGACTCTCCTATCAGCTCAAAGAGGGCCTGTTCTGCATTCTCCGCAGCCCGGGGCCCCAGTCCTGTGTGATGCCCCATGACACAGGGCGGGTCTCACTGCAGTGCAGCAGACGTCAACTCCAGGAAAAGGGCATCAGGAGCCGAGGGGCTCTGTTCCCTGACGCGGATGCATCAGACGGAGAAGCCTGCCTTCTCCCTACCACCTCCGCCCCAGCCTGCACCGGCCACAGGACCTCTGCACCAGCCGGCTCAGGCTGAGCTCCACGGCCCCCAGCGGGGTCACAGAGACCCTGGGACCCCACTCACCGGGCCTTTGTGCATCAGGGCCATCTCGGTGGGCTGGTACACACTGGTCAGCAGCTGCCCGTTGTACCCACTATATGGTGACACCGGTCTCTTAGCTGCAAAGAAACATAGAGCCGTTTGGGGGCTGGGTTCTCAGGCAGGGCTCCCCAGGGGGCTCGGGCAGGGCAGAGGGGGCTCACCTGCCCTGGGATAACATCTAACCCAGGGAGAAGCCTGGCCAGGGGTGGCCCACTTGCGGGGCGGGGTTGCAGGTATGGGGGCCCCTCCAGAGTCCAGCATGCCTTTGTCAGGAGTCAAGAGAGCATGATGCTGCCTGCCTTCTGCTCGGGCTTTCCTGCAGTGTGAGGACCCCTCCCCCGCCTTCAGCCAAGAAAAATGCTCCTGTCAGCAACCTTCATATCCCCATCCGCCCTCCGGGGCCAGAGGCCAGGAGGGGCACATGGGCCTTCGGCGGCCTTCCAAGACAGCCAGGCTCCAGCTCTGGCCTCTACCACTGCAGGCCACAGCTGCAAGGCGCTAGGGTAAGCAGAGCAAAGACCCCACAGCCTGAGACTGCCAGTCGTCCCGGGGCACAGCTGATCCTCCAGGACCCCACAACCCAGAGCCCCACCAGGAGGACTGAACGTACATACATCTTGTCCTGGGCAGCCTGGCAAGATTCCAGGACTGTTTGCAGCTCTGAGAATTCCTCCCCGTGCCCTCGGATGTGATGCTGTCCCCATCTGCTCTACCCTGCGGGGGTTCCCAGGGTGTCCGAGGAGAGCTCACGACCAGCCCCTGGGGCCCGAGGGCAGGCGGAAGGCTGTCTCCTGCAGGCTGCTGGCCCGCAGCTCCAAGGGACCACAACTATACAGGGCTGGGTTCCTAAGTGCTGGGCCCACTCGATTGATTTTTCCATTTAGAAAAAAAAAAAGAAAAGAAAAAAACCCTCACAGCCCCAGAAATGTTTGCCTTGCGAGGACAAAGGCTGAGTAGTATTACATGGGCCTCATGGCCAGACACAGAGCGGGAGCAGATGTGGGTGCACAAGCCCCACCCCCACTCAACTAGTCCCACTCTGTTATGTGGACCAGGGGCCGCCCCCGTGGGCAGATCACAGATCAGGTGCCAGACAGGACAAAGGTCACTCCTTTCCCCAAAACAGAGATGATGGGGAGGGGGGTCCCAGTTTGTAGAGAAGAGGCAGGGAGTTCTGCTTCTGAAACTTCCCGTCTCTGACTCAGCCCTCTGGCAGGGACCCCAGAGCTGGTGACCGACAGTCAAGCAGTTGAAGTCTTAAGCCCCCAAACATCCTGCTCAGCCCAGTCTGGGGTTGGGGTCAGGGGTCTGTCCTGGTCCTTCTGCCCTCCAGGTCCCAGTCACGTCAGATAAAGGGGCTGTAGGCAGCTGACTAAGGACAGCACGCCACAGGACACATCAGGAAATGTGTGCATACTGAGCACACAGTAGGTGCTCAATGAATGCTAGCGGTCCTTACAGTTAACAAATGCCAGAGAAATACTCTTCCCTTTGGAAGCCAGGAGCTCAACTGGCCAAGTGTCCCAGAGAAGCATCTCTCCTCACCCCGCCCCCCAGCCCGCCTGCTTCTCAAGCTGCTTCCAACGGGGAGGAGGGGGGCTTGGCACGGGCTGCAGAAGCTTCACCCATTCCTGCCTCTCCCAATTCCAGACACCCTCAGCCTGACCCCTTTGAGGCTGTACGGCTGGCTGGTGCCCCTAGTGCTGGGCTCCAACAGGAAAGCCCCAGCCCATTAACAAACGAGCCGGGACAGGAGCTTGGGGACAAGCCAGCTGGAGAGTGGGTGCTGCTGAGATCAGGATGTGGCACAGTGCTTTTATTAAAAAGAACAAAATCAGGGCACCTGGGTGGCTCAGTTGGTTAAGCGTCCAACTAACTCTTGATTTGGGCTCAGGTCATGATCTCAGGGTTGTGAGATCGAGCCCTGTGTGGGGCTCTGTACCCAGCAGGGAGTCTGCTTCTCTCTCTCTCCCTCTCTCTCTGCCCCTCCCCTAGCTTGCCCGTGCTCTGGCCCACTCTCTCTAGAATACATAAATAAATCTTAAAAAAAAAAAAAAGAACAAAATCTTAACTGAGAAGACTTTTAAAGGAAACTAAAATTATGAATAGGTACATAATGGAAAAACAAGTCCGGGAAGGGTGGTTGTAATCACAGTAAAAGGATAGGAATACAGCTAATAGCTAATACTCGTAGAGTAATTTCCAAGTGCCGGGCACGTGCATTAACTTAATCTTCACAAGAACCCTATTTAACAGGAACGATTATCATCCCCATTTTACAGATGAGGAAACGGAGGCACGTGGAGGTAAAATACCAGTCAGAGGTGGCCCAGAACAGGAAAGAACAGGGGTAGAACTGGGAGGAGCCAGCCGGAAGGAATTTTATCTGTGGGTGTTTTAAATTTTACAGTGGAAATATATTCATGAACTACAGGAGTACTAAAAACAAAACAAAACAAAAACTTAAAAATGGCATTTAGGGGCTTGAAGGCAGAACACTAGTGATCATTCGAGAGCCTTCCATCTCGCTCAGGAGACCAGCCCCCGCCCCCATCCTACCGTCCAGGATGCAGAATGGCAGACGGGGTGCGCGGGGAGGGTATCCCTCTGCCTACCTGAGGCTGGCTCGTCCATGGAAAATGCCTTGTTCTCCACAAACATGCTCTGGCCCTTCTGCTCTTTCAGGATGGTCTCGTAGCCGACGCCACGGGTGGGGTACATGTCCCCCTGGTAGCTCTGCTCTGGGCTGGCCTTGGTCACCTGGGAGACCTCCGGGATGACGTAGAAGAGGACAAAGGCCCAGGCGTTGGCGGCGAGGGCGATGGCCAGCGTGGGGTCATCCCAGGTGGGGTTGTTGTGCTGCTTGTTGCCGTACGTGTACATGACGATCCACACCACCCATATGGCAATGGAGGTGGCCGTGGTGAGCAGCACGAAGACCCCGTGCTTCCGCCAGCGCTTGAAGTGGCCACACAGGGCAGGCCAGGCCCCCGTGAAGGCACACAGCAGCAGAAGCATGACGTAGATGAGCGCCATGACGAAGTCCATGTTGGCAATGGCGCAGGGGGAGGCCGAGGCCCAGGGGGCACTGCCATTGCCCGGAGGGCCGCCCTCGCCGCCGCCGCGGACCAGCGTGATGATCAGCCACTCGGTGTTGATGATCACCTCCACGAGGGTCAGCAGCAGCGCCACGGTGAAGATCACCCAGCCCCGCGGCCCGTGGTTCTTCCGTGCCAGAAAGTTGAGGGCAAAGACATGCGCCACCAGGCAGGAGAAGCAGACGGCGAACAGGACTCCAAAGAGGAAGCGCCGAGAGGCACAGGTGGAGAAGTCAGGCTTCACCACGCAGGCAAAGACGAGGCAGAAGAGGCCCAGGGTCCCCAGCAGGAAGAAGACCTGGGTCCCCAGGAGGCTCCGCTTCTTGGTGTCCTGCACAAAGGGGAGGCTGGCCACAAGGATGATGGTGAGGACAAACGTAGTGACAACTCCCGCCCCAGCCACTGCCTCCAAAATGATGCCCCAGGCCCCGGAACGGTCACACAGGTTGTAGTACAGGGGGTTGAGGTCCGGGCTGCAGCCAGGTGGCACGTGGTTCTGGGCCTGGGCGCCTGCGATTAGGAAGACAGGCAGCCCCAGGCACGTCAGCAAGGCTTTGGGGATGGCCATGCTGGCTCCCAGGCCAGGCTCCGGCTGGGTCCCTAGAGACAGAGAGGGAAAAGGCACAATCAGTCTTCCAAGGCCAGACTCTGACACCCAAGTCGCTTGCTTGCCCCTGTCCTGAACTGGGGCAGACAGTGCGAGCTGATCACGAGACTGTCCCCACGGGCTTCAGATTCCTTCCTGACACAGCACTCCTGGGAGGCATATCAACTGACCAGAGAGGCAAATGAGATGAAGCCCATTTGTCATCTCTGGTCCTACTCACGGAAAAGGAGGAATCTGTCACTGAATTTTCAGGATCCCCGCCCCCCCCCCCCCGCCCCCCGCCATCATAACCAGCATCCGAACCTTCCCTGAGCTCTTGCAGTTTGGGTTGAGGGTGATAGGGTTTGAGAGCAAGTCAAAACCAAGCCACTCCGCACTTTCTCTCTGCCCCTGTGATGCCCACGTCCATGGCCAACCTGCCATGCACTCATTCACACAGTAGGTACTTCACGAGCACCTGAAAGGCATGACCTGCAGCCAGAGAAAACGAAGAGACAGTTCTCTTGGATTCCTCCCTACCACCTCCCTTTCCTGCCCTGTATTTGCCCACTTTTCACGCCAGCTCTCCTCTTCAGAATCCAAACTTCTTTGTCTAGCTCGGTTGCTGGAGTGAAGGATAAAATAATTTCTCAGCTAGGGAGTTAATGACTTCATGCAAAAATCCTTCTATGAGGCATTAACATTTTTAAAAGCAAGAATGGGGAAGGGCAATGCAACGCCCAAAGGAACTCATCTGTCATGGAAGACGTTAAGGCACTGTAGCCAGAAGGCAAAAAAGGGATCTTTCATTCACACCAGGAAGGTACCCTATTACTCTACTGTACTACTCATTTGACCAGCCCCGACGACGGCGGCTCTACCAAGGCCTGTAGATGAGCAGCAAAGAAAACGGAACCCCTGCTCTCAACACCAGCTGGACTATCCCTGTGTGGTGTGGAGATAAAGAATGTGGCAGCTTAAGAGAAATTAAATATCCAATCAATGAAAGACTTTAAATTTACCTGGAGAACAGAGAATCTCAATGTTCTAAACAGCCAAGTTCAAAAATACTGCAGAATACAGATATGCACATTAAATTACCCCTTACGTTCAAGTAACTAGTTATAACCCTGCTTCTTCCTCTCTCACTTCTTGGGTCCTCGGAACTCTCTGGAAAGATGGCAACCAAGCTTTCCAGGATGATCGTGACCACTAGTGGCTCTCAGGGGAATGGCATGATCCAACTCCTCCCACCTCCTTTCTTCCTCCTTTGGGGGTAGTGATGCATAGTCCACCCCCTTAAGTTTTCACCATTCCTAGTTACCTAATTTCTAACAGGCGAACAAAAGTCCTAAATCTCAGTCAATAGAAACTGTCTCTCTGTAACTGATAAGTGGAAGAGTACTTGCTATTGGATCAGGGAAAATAAAACCCATAAATTAAGTGAAACCGACATAATAAAGAACGTCAATTTTCAAAGTCCTTTAACATATCCTACGGACCCAAGGTGCCCCTTGAAAATACAGGTATCTCGACCTTCTCAGCTACTTCATTTTTTTAAAAATTTTTTAAAGATTTTATTTATTTATTTGACAGCACAAGCAGGCAGAGTTGCAGGCAGAGGGAGAGGGAGAAGCAGGCCCCCCGTGAGCAAAGAGCCTGATGTGGGGCTCAATCCCAGGACCCTGGGATCATAACCTGAGCCGAAGGCAGAGGCCTAAGCCACTGAGTCATCCAGGCGCCCTCAGGTACTTCATTTTTCAGTTAAGCTTGCTTTTCCTCCAAATACTACCTATCATTAACTCTTAATAAGCTAACATATTTATTGTTTTCCTAAATAACTGCATGGTCAGAACTCAGTTTCTCTTGACTTCTAATGCAAAAGCACGTTTCCCCTGCGTCGAGATTTAAATAAGCTTTGTAGGGGACTTTGTGCAATCGTAAATCAATAAAGCATAAACTGTATTTACAATTGCTGGAAAGAAAAACGAAGGGTGGAGGATTGATGGGTAAGGAGAAACACTGAACCACTCCAGGGAAGAGGTAATTTGCAGATTACACGCTGTGGGTTCCTAAGCCTTCAACCCCATCTTGGGTGTTTGGGGCTCATAGCAAAGCAGCCAGAACTTGTGGTAAAGTTGGAGATGTGGAAGTGAGCCCTGAGAAAGGCCACCCTGAGTTAGCCCCCAGGTATCTGCACATCTTCCAGCACTTCACCCCCTCCCCGCGCTGGATCCCAGATTAGATACAGGCAATTATTCCCAATCAGAAAATATTTACTGTGCATTTTGGTGGGGGGGGGGGGGACGACAAAGCCAGTCGTTCTCAGAGCTCTGGGAAATACAAAGATGAACAAATACAGCCCCTGACTTGACGGTTTGTTTTTTGTTTTTGTTTTTCTCCCTGACTTGATGGTTTTTAAAATCCAGCACGAGAGAGAAGGTAGGTCTGTGAGAAAATGGTAAGTGCCACACAACAGAATTTGCCTCTGGGAGAGGGAAAGGTGTTCCAAGAACACAGAGGAGGAAGCTCTTCCCGCTGAGGGGTCAGATAAGAACGGAGAAGACCTTTCAACAGCATTTTATTCAGTATTTTATCACCTTCAAGTATGAACCGAGTTTGTAAGGGGAGACACAAGACTAGAAGTGCTACTGGGAAGGAGGTTGGGGCATCATTCTAAAGGCAATGGGGAGCCACTGAACTAAAGCTGTGTTTTGCACAAACGTGGCATAACTAGGATTGTGCTTTCAGATCTGAATCTGGCCAAAAGCACAGGCAATCGATTTGTTGAGGACACATTCACCCGTTTAAAGATCAAGGCCAAAGGTAAAGCCATAATGGCCAGATCTGAGAGATCCTTTCCCAAATAAAATCTAAGGACTGACTGGAGGTAGGGGGAAAGGATACCAAAGCCCACACTACAAGTTTAAATCTGATAACAGCCATGTCATGACAAAAACAAAACAAAACCAAGCCAGGTCCCATTTAGCTCTGCAACCCTTCTGGTCACTTACTCTTCTTGAGCCATCTTGCTCTTAGAAGTACACGCCTTTACCCTGCCGGCATCCAGCAACCTCGCAGCTCTCTGCCCGCCCCACCAATGTGGGGAGAACTCCCAAGAAGGAAAGAGGAACCTACCTGTTCTTGCTGTTGCTCCTCCCCGCCCAGGTACCTGGCTGCTTGGCGGCCCTGATACTTACCAGCCCCAGATGAAACAAACCATTCCCACCAGACACAATCCATTTCTCTGTTCCCCGGAAAAATGCAAGGGTGAGTATGGAGACAGGAATACACCTACTCAGGCCTAGGGCAGTGATCCGTGGAGGCCAGCAGAGTTAAAGGAAGCTCAGCAGAGCTCTGCATGTGTCCTTTGACCTCCCCGAGTGCAGATTCAGCCAGGCAACCCATGCCACTTTTTACATGGCGGAGAAGGGGAAGAGCACTGCAAAGAGAGGGACCTAGCTCTGCCTAAGAGGCTCTCCCTCCCGCGGGTCCCTAAAGCCTGCACTTCCTGGCTGTCTTCTGAGCCTTGATGGCTCTTCTGTGCATGAGTCTCCCCTACCAGGCTGGAAGGTGTGTGAGGGTAGTGAACAAGACGTATTAACTTAGCATCCCTGCAAACACCTAGTGCTGTGCCTTGAACAGAGTAGACGTCAGAGCAGGCATTTAAAAAAGCCTTCGCTGAACAGACTCAGTGCCCCCTTCTCCCTTGCCTTCTTCAGTGTGGAGTCACATCTTCTGCTTCAAGGTTCTCAGTGGGACCGAGGGGAGTGGGAGGGGGACCGCCTCCCGCCCCATGAATTTCTCCAACACCAACACTGCCGCACAGTCCAGTCTCGGATTATTTCCTGGACAAAGGGGCCCTTTTGCTTCACCTCCCTGGAATCAGTCATACAGATATTTTTAATCACCTCTGAAATCGGCCTCTCCCCCACTCAGCCACTCAGCACCCCAGCTCTGGTCTGAGTCAGCCCAATCCAGTTCCAGTTCCTCCCAGTTTCCCTCTCCAGGAGGAGCAGAGAGGCCTCAGCAGTGGGGTGGGTTCAGAGGCGAGCTGGCCCTGACTGGCTTGATGAGAGGCAGTCAGGCCCTCTCATCTTTCCAGAACAACCCCCTCCTAACCTCCCACCATTCACACCAGAACCCAAGAACCCCTAGGGCATAGGAGACCAACCTGAAGAGGACACCATGGGCTTCACAGTGCCGCCCTGGTCTGCATCTCCCAGGCTCAAGGATAGAGTAAGATAGAGACACACAGCCTGTGGTTACATATAAGGGTGCCATGACCCCTGACAGCCCCCTCTCAAAGGCACCTAGGCTCACCCAGGGATACCACAGAGCATCCTCATTCCTCAACTGCCAGCACTCAGCAGCCTACCAGGAGAGGTGGATGGACCCACCAACAGCCGTCCCACCTCCTTCCCTTCTCCCCCATCCCACCCCCCTTTCTGGAGTTCTGTCCTTATGCCTTATCATCTTACTCCTGTCCAGGGGCTCTGGCGACTAAACCCACCAATAAGAGGGATCAGAGATCAGGTTGGGAAGGGAGGGGCTTCCAGGAACCTCAGCCTAGACCTCCGCATTAAGTGGACATTTGGGCCAAAATTTCCTGAGCATTCTGAAACGTGGAAGTCTTCAATCCAAGGGTCTGCTCTGGAATGCCACTCTGGAATGCGCCCCACACCCCTCCCCACCCCCTCCCCCCACACATGTAATAAGACACAAGGTGGGGACAACCAAGTGCAAAAAACCCTATTTTGACACATTCTGGTTCCTGTGCTTTAGGATCAAGATCATGGAGCTTTTAAATGATTGGCTTTTCCCGGGTGTAAAACTGCGGGCTTCAGGATGGAGGGGCGCTACCCAACCCCTTCGGCTGCAAAGGGCCCTGGAAAAGCCCTGGGGGGTCGGAGGGATCTAGAAGTCAAGCTGCCTGAAGTAGGGGCTCTTTGATGGTCTGATTCCAAACTTCCTACAGGAAGATTCTGAGAATTGCCCTCCTCACCCCTGGGGTCTACACCGGCGCTCCCCAGGCCTTGGATGCAGAGTGAGTAGGGACCCCAGCCTGTCTCCCGCATTCCTTCTGGCCACAGAAACCTGCTCTCCCCATCCTCGGGCCCCGGAGAGGAGGCTGGCCCACCAGTCGCTGCTGACCGTGGACTCACGCAGAGAGGCAGCGGGAGTGGAGGGGGCACCCACTGTGGAGTTCGGGACAGCGCCGGGCTTCGCCCACCCCCGGTCCCCAGCTCGCGCCGGTTTGTAAAGTTTCTGCGACCGAGCGGAGCCGAGTTGGCGCGGCGTCCTCCGCGCTCCCCTCCCCCGGTCCTCCACCCTCGGGCTTCTGCCCTCGCCCGCGGCCCGCCGGCCCGACCCGGCTCTTCCGGGCGGCGGAGGGGAGGGCGGAGCGGGAAGGCAGCAGCCCTTACCTGGGACGCGCCGCCCGCCCCACTCGGCGCGGCGTTTGGGGCCACCTCCAGCTCCAAGCGGAGCGCGGGCGGGGTGAGAGGGGCTCGGCGGAGGGCGCGGAGCCAGGCGAAGCCCGGGCCTGGGGTGGCGGGGCCCGGGCGGGGGCTCGGGGCGCAGGGCCTGCCTCTCCCGGGAGCCTGGGCTGGGCTGGCCGCCCTCGGTCCCTCCTTCTGGCGCTGGCCTCTCCCCGCACTCGGCTCCTTTCTCCGGGCGAGGGTGGGCCGGCGCCTGCATCACCGTGACATCACCTCCATTCAGGAGCTGATCGGGCGGCCGCAGCGCACCAGGTATGTGCAATCCGTTTGCACAGCAACAAAGCCCGCCAGGCCCTCCCCCGCCGCGCCGACTCACCTCCAGGCTCCGGCGAGGCGCACTTTCCGGCCGGGGAGGGAGCTCGGAGTTTCTGGCGGAGCTGGGAGCCGGAGTGTTGTTGCTGTTTACTGCCACGCCCCCGCACGCGGGCGCGCGCACTCACGCGCACTCACTTTCAGGATTTGGCTTTCCCTCCGGAAAGCGGTTTGGGGGGCAGGCTCTCCCGCCCCGCATGTCCCAGCGCGCACACACGAACACGCGCGGGGGCCACCTTGGTGCGTCTCACCGAGCCTTCGTCACCTTCGTCCTGGCTCTCCCGTGAGGGACACACGCCGGGCACAGTTCGCTGCTCTGGGCTAGAGCGAGGCGCACACTCAAGACACAAAGTCCGTCTTTGTCACGCCTTCTGAGCCCCCTCCCCTCCCCGAGCTTGCACACGTGGACACACCACACGCCGACTGTCCGCCCCTAACACGCGCGGCCTTTTCCCGGCACCTGGGTCACCAAACATGCATGGACGGGGGGACACCGCGAGCGCCCCTACCGCCGTGGGCCGGGCCCGGAACCCCTCGGAACCGTGAGCAAACGTCGCCCTGGGCCCGACTCCCCTGCGCCTGGATTTCCCGCGACCGCCCCAGACACGGTCCAACTCTGAGCGCGCGCTCCCCTCCCCGCGTCCCCGTTCCCTGTTCCGACTTGTCCTAATTAGCCTTCACGGTCATGTTCCCCGGGGTACAGTGTTTAACCCGGCCCCCGCGGTCCCTGCGCTCCGGGACGCAAGGGCCCTGACTCCGAGTCCAGCCCTCCGGCCGCCCGCGGACTTTTCCACGAGTTCGGGTACCCTCCGCCCCACTCCGCGCCCCACCCCCACTCCCTGCCCCGGGGTGGATCAGCCCGTTGCCAGCCTTCAGCCTCGGAGGCCCCGGGAATCAGCAGAAAGGGAACCGCAGAACTGGGATAGCGAATCCAGTCTGGGACGTCCCCGGCCCAGTAAACAAGAGATTTTTCCGGCCGCCTTCCCCTGGGGCTGGCGCGCCCCGCGGGAGGCGGGCTGCGCCGTCCGGGGGCGCCCAGCGGGGCCTAGTTAGCCTGCACGGGAGGCCCGGAGGGGCCGCGGCGCCCCGGGAAGGGAGAGGTTGTTGGGCCTGGCCGGGGCCCAGGGGACGCGGAGGGAGGGCAGGGCGACGGGTCTCCGGGGCGCTGGTTCTCGTGACGCCGAGTTGCCTGGGGGATCGCCAGCAGCGCGCGGTTGGAGCCAGTCGGCGGCGGGGCGGGCGGCGGGGCGTGTTTGCACAGCCCGGGGCGCGCGGGAGGCGGGGGAAGCGGCTGGTCCCGGGCTCGGGGGTGGCAAGGTTGGGGGGAGGGCGCGGGGAAAGGGGAGGGGTACCCCCGGGGCTGTTTGTGTGCCTCAATCTACGACAGGCAGAAGTCAAACTCAATGAATCACCAGGAGCTGCCGGAGCGATAAACCTCAGGCCTGCCCCTCCCCTCGCGCACCGGCTTTTCGGAGTCCAGGAGGGAATGTTTGCTTAGCGGCCGGGGCCGGCGGTGGGGCCCTGCGTTTTCTAGAACCTGCCTCCCTCCCTGTGCCTTGCCCTCGCTTGCAAGTCTGGGAAGTGCGGTGATCGCTGAATTGTTTCCTTTCTTTTTAAATATTAAGATTAAGAGCGCGTTTCTGGTGCAGAGTTGTGCGTTACTTTCGGTCTCCCTCCCCTAACTCTACCCCCACCCCACGTCTCCCGGACCCTCCTGTGAGGGTGTGCAGGCAGGTGCCCGCGCTGGGAAGGCAAGCCCTCAGTGAGCGGGTAAGTCCCTCTGGCCTCTGACTGTAGCTTTCATTAACAAGGCAGGTATTGTCCACGAGGGTTGCTCCTTAGCATATGTGAAAAGCCAATTCTGAGAGCTGGGGATGGGTGTAGGGGAAGTGGACTGGGGGCAGATGAGCTGTGGATCCAACCCATCTTCTCAGTTTGCTCTCAAGCTTCTGGAACTCCTTCAGGTACATAGGACTCTCCCAAGAGGCAAGTTTTCCCCCATCAGTCCCTGCCCAGGCAGGGGTAAGGTTGGGGTATGGGGTGCCTGGCCACCCACTGGGAGTGGGCCAAGAGGCCTGCCAGCCCTGAGCAGTAGGCACCACTGGAAATGTAGGACAGCTTTCTGAGAAAGGTTTGCTGGGTCCCTTTTCACCCCGTCTCACTCTGGAACAAGATCTGCCTTCAAAACAAACCAAGGCCCTCGGGGCAGATGACCCAGCCCTTTGAGCCTCCAGGATCCCTGGTGCCCTCTGCTTTAGTCCCTGGGGCAGGGCCTGGCTGGCTGTGGGGTGGTGGGACTGGAGGTCCAGATCTTGAGAGTGCCACCCCACCCAGCCCCCCTGAGTCCCACTGTGAGGGTGGGGGGTGCTTCTGGACACTGGCAGCCTTCCTTGGTTAGAAGGGATGTTCTGTGAGAGGTGTGTTGTTTTCCAAAATTCCGGGTACAGGGTCGTCTGTGTCCCCAAATGCCATTCACCCAGTTTAATGATCCGTAGGCATATAAGCCTTTATGAACTCCCGTTTTCACCAGAAAATAACACTTTGTGAAGTCATCCCCTATGGATACTGCCCACCCACTGTGCAGAGAGATCCTGGAGTAATGGATTGTCGGGGAGTGTCTGGCTCCCTCCCTCCCCTTATATATGGTGCTTGAGTTCATTTTGGGCCATGGAAACTCCTTTCATCTCCATCCCAGCCTTCCTTCTCTGAGCTGCTAGAGGTTTAGGGACTGACAAGTCCCCAGGGTCGGAAGCAGTTCTGCCACCTGCCATCTGTGATCTGGATGGGTCACTGCATCGCCCTGGGCCCTACTTACCTCTCCTGTACAATGGGCACGATAACCCCACCCTTCCATCTTGCTGTAACATCCAGATGACTCCGAGTCTAGAATGTTCCTCACACAAGCCTGCCCCTCACAGGTGCCCCAGGTGCCCAGCGGTCAGCCTCTCCTTTCCTGGTGCATCCCCTAGGGCTAATCTTAGTCCTGTCAAGTTAAAGTCCTGTCTTCTCTGACCTTTCAATTCTGTTTTACGGTTATCGGAATAGCCTTATCATGCCATGCTCTGGGCCTTCGCCTCAGCTGTTTCTTTTTCCTCCAACATCCTCTCCCTCCCACCCCCCCTTCTCTGACCAAAATTCTTACAAAAATCAGCTCTGCCTCAAAGCTCAGCCCCAGAGTCCCTCTGTGAAGTTTTCCTCACCTTCCCCAGAAATAACTGTGGGAGTTGCTTTACCTACAGCTTTTGATGCATTTGTTTATCGTTAGCCCAGTGTATCTTCCTCAGGCCTGTCAGCTGTTGTCTCCGCAATTATACTGTGCCCTTCTCAAGAGGGGGCATGTTTCACGCATCTTGTGGTCCCTGGCATCTGGCACAGAGCCGGTCGCGTAGGGTAGCTCCGTTGTCTTATGGTTAGGACGATAGTAGAGTAGCGTTCCAGCCCCTGGAGAGTAGTCCGCCGCCGACCTTCCCCTCGAACCACAGGCCTCGCGCAAGCCGTATGCACCTGCCCTGCCCACCACACCTGCCCTGCCCGTGGCACGAGGCCTTCCTGGGAAGCAGGCAAGCCCCAGTGCCTTTTGGAGAAGTCCACTGCCCCTGAGCCAACAATGCCCTCCATTCAGAGTCCAGGTAGAGGAACTTGACCACCTGGCTTGGGGCACAAGGGGTGAGGAGGCTAGAGGTCAGTTTTGCTCCCTAGAGGGACTTCCTTTTGCATGGGGAGCAGGAGTCCATATTGCAGCTTCAGCTGGTGGAATCGCTCTCAGGAGCCATTTCCTTCTCTGGGGAGGGGAAGGGCTGCCCCCTCACCCCCACCGGGGTTGAGTGCCCTTGGTCTTGTGGCCTGGCCCCAGTGAAGCGAGAACAGTCCCTCCCTGAGCGGAGGGTGGAGGCTCTTGGCTCCCTGACAGGTGGGTGCCTGGAATCCTGTACCAGGCGGCTGGGTGCCCCACAACTGGCTGGTAAACAGATTTTGCATTTGACTTTTCCTTGCTCCCAGGCTCCATATTAACTGGTTACTGCCCAGCCTATGGTGTCTGGCTAAGTCTCCTTTTCTCTTAGGTTTATAGGACTGACGCTTGCACTAGTCGGTACCCCCGTTTTTTTTTGAAGGACCCAGGTCCCAAGGTGTCACCTTAAGAAACAGGAAGCCAGGGGTCTGGGAACAGGCAAGTTAAACACTAATTCCCCACAACTGGCTACCCATGGATGATCCCTCTGGAAATGTACCCGGAAGTGGGCCTTGGGCAGAGCCTGCTGGAATGTCACCTGCTGCCAAGCCCACCCTCAGTGGCCACAAATCTGCTTCTCCTTATCCCCCTCCCTGTCCATGGCTCAGTGGCCACTAACCACCTCCCTGTGGAGGAGAGAACTGGATTTTCTGAGCTGCCCCGGTCTGGAGAGCGTCCATCAACACACAGTGGATCTAGGAACCAGGGTCAAAGCAGAGGGTCCAAGGAGTCAGGCCCCTCTGCCCATGAGCCCCTTCCAAAAACGAAAAAGAAATGTGCACACAGTGCTGCATCTAGTTCCCCCTTACCTTCGGGGGAGGGAGGGTCTCACCCCCATCTGAGAACATTCCAGGGATGGGGTACCCTTTTACCTCACTCCAGCGGCTACCTGGCCCCAAGCTGATTACCTCGCTTACAGTCCTCCTCCCACTCGTCAACACCTCCAGTCACCCTGCAAACCGCCGTCCATCAGGGGACATTCCCTGACTTCACCCCGTCGCTCTGCTGAAAACGTCGCTGGCTCCCACTGCCTTGAAGTGAAAGACTAAGTTTGCTCGCTCAGCATTCAAGACCTCTGCAACCTGCACTCAACCCTGGGCACCAGCCTCATCCCCCTCCTCTTCCCCACTCCAGCCTGAGAGGTCAGCTCCCAGTCTGGCCACTGGACTTGCCTTCCTGTGGTTTTACTCACACCCCACCCCCATCAACTCTCAGTCCAGGAAGCCCCCTCTGGATCTCTCTGCTCCAGTCCCCTTTTAAAGTCCTGTGCTCCTCCCAGAATTTTTGGCTGGTGACCCCACCCCATAGTCCTCCTCCCTCTGCTCTCCTAGAGCTCCCCTTCTAAGGCAAATTTGCTAGCCTAGCACTGCTCTGCATCGTTAATTGTATCTTATGCATAAATATCTTGCCTCTCTAATTGCTGATATGCTTGGTGGGGATTGGATTCAGATTTCATGTCTGTCCTTCCTTGCAGCCCCTAAGATAGTGCTTTATACCCACAATAAAAAAAGGCAATAAATATCAGCAGAATAGTGGACAGACTGGCTGGAAGCTGAGCGAGGCTGCCTTCTTGAAGGGGAAGGGCAGGCTCAGGGTCTAGCCTTGGCCTTGCGGCGGTCATGAACCCCCTACTCAGATCCCTGGCTCCCTCTGGCTCCCAGAATTCCAGGCCAGGAAGTTCAGAGAAATCCTAGCTTGTCTGATAATGCAATCCTCATCATAGCTTGCCTCTATGTAGTGCTGTATGATTTTCAAGTGTCTTTTATATATATTCAATCCTTATAACCTTATGAGTTCAATAAAGCAGATATGCTCTCCATTTTATAGATGTAAAAACTGAGGTTCAGGGCGCCTGGGTGGCTCAGTTGGTTAAGCGACTGCCTTCGGCTCAGGTCATGATCCTGGAGTCCCGGGATCAAGTCCCGCATCGGGCTCCCTGCTCGGCGGGGAGTCTGCTTCTCCCTCTGACCCTCCCCCCTCTCATGTGCTCTCTCTCTCTCTCATTCTCTCTGTCTCAGATAAATGAATAAAATCTTAAAACAAAAACAAAAACAAAAAACTGAGGTTCATAAAGGCCAAGCAATGTGCCGTGGATTAAAACCCATTCTTCTGAACTCCGCTGGACTTGCATTTCTCTGTGGGGTGCCCGCAAAGTGCTTTTTCTCATCTCTCCTATAGCTCTTACCTTTTCTGCCTTATTAATG